AGGCACCGGGTGTGGTGAGAGGTGTGGGGAAAGGGGCCCCGTTGCCCAGCACCGCCTGTGTGCCCAGTGCTGTGCTAGGTGCTTTCCAGACTCATATGTCTGAAACCACACAGCCAGTTGTTGAGAGGGGTAGCTCACAAGTGAGTAAACAGACGCTTAGAGAGGTTAAGTGACTTGCCGAAGGTCACCCAGAGTGGCAGAGCTGAGATTTGACCCTACAAACCTCTGGTTCTTTCTACCGTCTTCATGGCTCAGCCAGCCCTTGCCTTTTCCTCTAGGGGTGTGAGTTTCCCCTGGCACTTTTTGGGAGTGAGGGAGGCTCCGGTGGGCAGGGTGCATGGCTGGTGGCTGGCACTCCAGCGCCCACCCCCTCCGACTGTGCCCAGGCGAGGCTCAGCGTATTGGAGGGATGGGCCTGTGGTTTTCTCTGCCTTGAGGGAGGGTGCCCACGGGTAGTAGAGCTGGTGGGCAGAGGGTGGAGGTTGGAGGTAGGTAGTTTGTTTTCCCTTTCTTTGGTGGTTTCAGTTCTCTGCTGGTGTCTTCTCTACCCCTGGGTCCAGGTAGCTGGGGCCCAGGTGTCTCCCCAGGGATCATGGCTCCAGAGGGAGCTTCTGAGGCAGGGCCTGTGCTCTTTGGCTCAGCCCCCATCATCCCTGCCCTCTCCCATCCCTGTTCCCTGGCCAGCCTGGCCCTCGGCTCATTTCCATGACCTTTACCCCCTCCCATGGCTCAAGGTCCTCCCCAGGGAGCTGAGTAACTCTGCACCAGAGTTTGCAGGCTGAGCAGGGTTAGGGATAGTGAGGCTCTCATGGGGTGAGGGAGGCCTTCCAGTCTCTCACTGGGGTGTGGCTTTGGAGTGCAGGGGGTTTTGAAGTTTGGTCCCATGTCTAACTCCTCACAGGCATTAAGGTGGGCATAGTCATCTGTCCTCTGGGGGCAGGGGTGGGATGCAGAAGGTCCAGACTGGACCGACTGAATCCACCCCTATACCCCAAAAGCTGAGTCAGAATGCCTGGGGTCTAGAGTGAATGGCTTTCTGGGCCTCAGCTTCCTGGGCCTCACCTCAGGGAGGCCGGCCCCTGTGTGGACGTAAACCCTCCTGAGTATTTGTCAGAGGGTGCACCTCAGTGTGTGTTGGGTGCTGGGCCCCCAGGGAGGCAGGTACAAAGGCCAGCCTGGCTGTGTGAGGGCCAGGGAATGTGCAGTTTGGGAAACTGTGGGGCTGTGGTTGTGTGTCTGTGGGGAGCTGTGTCCTGGGGCCGTGCACACAAGCCCTGAACCATGTTCATTGTGTGGTGAAGCCCAGGTGTGGAGAGATGGTATCTCCAGGTTCCCTCTCTTCACGTGCGTGCCCGCACACACACAGGCTGGGGCGTGCAAGCATGCTCTTGCCCACCCGGATGCTTTCCATAGACCTGCATGCATGAGTTTCTGCAGGAGAGAGAGAGAGAGAGAGAGAGAGAGAGAGAGTGTGTGTGTGTGTGTGTGTGTGTCTGACTGTCAACGCTGATGAGGCTCGGCCAACCCCTCCTTCCCTTGCCTGGCTCCCTCAGCTCAAGAGTTCCCGTTGTGTGGGGCCCCACAGGGGCGTGGGGGGCTGGGGTGGCAGCTGGCCCAATGGGTGGGGCTCCTGTTCCTCTGACGTCAGCCTTCTCAGCCTGGGAGGGAATCAACAGGGGCCTGGGGAGAGAAGGGGGTACTTCATTTAGGAGTAAGGAGAGAGGCCTTATGGTTGTCATAATTAGTACCAGTAAAAATCATGGTCATTAACAATGTCCAGATTCCACTCCTGGGGGAGCTGCCCCCTCCCTAGCAAGTACCTGTCCCCTCTCCCCCTCCCTCAGCTTGGCCCAGCTGGGCCCAAAAGTCCTGGCCTTGTCCACTGTGGCCTTGGCAGGAACTCCTCTATCCCAGGCATGGTCCTCTGCCAAACGCTGGCCATGTGCATGTCCCTTGGATTCTAGGTCTGAGCCTGGAGCTTAGAACCTGGTGTGGCCTAGGCTTGGTGGGGGAGGTGGGGGGAGGAACAGGGGTTAGAAATGCAGGCAGTCCTTAGTTTGGGTCTTTGTGACCTTGTTTCTTTCCTTTTTCCTTTTTTCTCTTTCTCTCTTTCCTTTTCTCTTCCCTTCTTTGTGTAATATTTATTTTTTATTTTTATTTTTTTTTATTTAAAAAAAAATTTTTTTTTCAACGTTTATTTATTTTTGGGACAGAGAGAGACAGAGCATGAACAGGGGAAGGGCAGAGAGAGGGAGACATAGAATCGGAAACAGGCTCCAGGCCCTGAGCCATCAGCCCAGAGCCTGACGCGGGGCTCGAACTCACGGACCGCGAGATCGTGACCTGGCTGAAGCCGGACGCTTAACCGACTGCGCCACCCAGGCGCCCCATTTATTTTTTATTTTTAATTAAACCCTACCCCCAATGTGGGGCTCAAACTCATGACGCTGACCTTGAGAGTCACACGCTCTACTGACTGAACCCGTCAGGGGCCCCTCCTTTCTTCTTTTTAACAGGTTTATTGAGATGTAATTCATATACCGTAAAATTCACCCATTAAAGTGTATAACACAGTGGTTTTTGTATACTCACAGAGTTGTGTGAATGTCCCCACCATCAATTTTTGAAGATTTTCATCACTCTAAAAAGACCCCGTTAACTGTCAGCAGTCACCTCCCATTTCCTTCAAACCCACCCCCTAGCCCCTGGTGACTGCAGTCTGCTTTCTGTTTTTATAGATTTGTCTATTCTGGGCGTTTCATAGAAATGGAATCATCGTATGTAGCCTTTTAGAACTAGCATGACTGTTTTCATGTTGTAGTAGTATATATCAGTACTTCATTCCTTTTTCTGGCAGAATTAAGTTTGCATGTGGATGGACACTCTGTCCATTCATCAGCTGATAGACATTTGGGTCGGTTCTACTTTTAGGCCATTGTGAGTAATACTGGTCTGAACATCTGAGCACAAGTTTTTGTGTGAACTTATGTTTTCATATCTCTTGGGGAGATACCTAGGAGTGGACTTGCTGGATCATAAGGTAACTCTGTTTAACTTTTTGAGGAACTGCCACATTGTTTTCCAAAGTGGTTGTACTGTTTTACATTCCCTCCAGCAGGTGTATGAGGGTTCCGGTTTCTCCATATCCTTGCCAGATTTATTCTTTTTGATTATAGTCATCTTGGTGGATCTGAGGTGATATCTCATTGTGGTTATTTATTTACTTATTTAAATGTTTATTTATGTTGAGAGAGAGAGAGAGACAGAACATGAACAGGGGAGAGGCAGAGAGAGAGGGAGACGCAGAATCCGAAGCAGGCTCCAGGTTCTGAGCTGCCAGCACAGAGCTTGACGTGAGGCTTGAACTCACAAACCGAGAGATCTTGACCTGCGCTGAAGTCTGATGCTCCACCCACCAAGCCACCCAGGTGTCTCTCATTGTGGTTTTAAAAGGCTGTTTCTTTGGAGCGCCTGGGTGGCTCAGTTAAGTGTCCTACTTCAGTTCAGATCATGATTTCATGGTTCATGAGTTCGGGCCCCGCATCAGGCTCTGTGCTAACATCTCGGAGCCTGGAACCTGCTTCGGATTGTGTGTCCCTCTCTCTCTTTCCCCTCCCCCGCTGGCACTCTGTCTGTCTCTGTCACAAAAATGAGTAAATATTAAAAAACAAATAAATGGCTGTTTCTTTTTGTCTTTTTTTGTCTTCACATATATACAATGCCATACATATGTCATATATATGTGTATATGTATTTGTATATAAAGAAATATATCCATGTACATGTATTTATTTTAGTATATCCTATACCCCAGGTGGATTTGATTGGAAGCATCCTCTTGCGGATGCTTCTCTTTTTCCCCTTTCTCTCTTTTCCCTTGTTGCTGCCTTTCTGTCTGTGTCATGGCATCTCTGGGTTCATCTCTGCCTCTCTCTGCCCCATGGTGTTATCTGTGCATGCCCTTCTGATCCCAGCTGTTCAAACAGGGTTTGGATCTGTATACACACACGTGTGTGTGTGTGTGTGGGGGGGGGGGCGGGCATCTGGTCCTTCATTGTGTGCCCTCCTCCCACCCCATCCAGGGATGTTGCTTTTGCCACCAACTATGAGGGTGAACTTTGAATTCATCAATCTTCCTTACCGTTTCATTGCCTGGGGCTGGGGAGGTTCTATCCTGGGCAATCCCTACCCTTCTTACACACTGCCCACTCCTGGCCCATCATGCTGGTAAGCATTGGAGGTGATACCCAGGAGTCCTTGGTTCCCGTTTCCTTATTTGTGTGTATGTCAACGGGCCTCCTCCCTAGGCCTGTGGGACAAACCCATCTGGGGTGCTGGGGCTTGGATTTTGGGGGGAAGTGGTATAAGAGGGGCCCCCTGGCCTAGGAGTCATTTTTCTGAGAAGTGCCAATGCTTTAGGGAAGCGGCTTTTCCTCCCCCACCCTCCTCCCCTCAGGCACAAGGTTCTTTGTATCTTGACCTCAGGTAACCCGCACTGGGGGGAGGAGGAGGGCCAGCTGCTGGCCTCTGCCACAGGGATCCTCTGGGGTGGCAGACCCTGACCTTTCCCCTCAGGACTGTGGGTGAGAGGCCCTTTGTGGCTCTGGGCTCTGTCCTCGTCTCCCCAGCCTGGCTGTGCTATCCTGCCACCCCCAGCAGTGTCTGGGCCCTGCTCCCAGGCTGTCTCTGCCAGCCAGGCATGGTGCCAGCTGTCTGCTCAGCCGGGTGCCACGGGAGAATCTCCGGCCGCCCAGGTTGGGGAGCTCCACGGGGAATGCCCGTGTACCCGCTCCTCAGTGCCCACTCACCTGCCTTTCCTTTTTCTGCAGTGCCACAGAACATGGCCCCCCGAGCCGCCTAGCCAGGGCCCATCTGGGAGAGGCATCCTCTTCGGTGTCCTGAAGGCCAGCTCTGGACCTTCCCAGAAAAGTGCCAGCTCACAGAACTGCTTGACCGAAGGACCAGCTCTTGGGACCTCCCCCAACCCACGCGGCCCCCCGCTAGAGTGGGGGATCCAGGAGGCTGAGATTAGCCTGTTGGCCTTGGACAGAAGCTCCAGGACAGAAGGGGGGGGTGGGCTGACCACCCAGACCCCCTCTGGGCCCAGGCCCCATGCCCCGAGGAGGGGCAGCCTGAAGCCCGTCAGAGCCTCCTGCCAGACTGTCTGCCTACCCTTCTGACTGTGGCTGCTTGGCATGGCCAGCAACAGCAGCTCCTGCCCAACACCTGGGGGAGGGCACCTCAATGGGTACCCGGTGCCCCCCTACGCCTTCTTCTTCCCGCCAATGCTGGGTGGACTTTCTCCGCCAGGCGCCCTGACCACTCTCCAGCACCAGCTTCCAGTCAGCGGCTATAGCACACCATCCCCAGCCAGTAAGTGGGGTGGTGGGAGGCTTGGTGGGAGGGGGCTGTGGAGATCGGCAGGCCTCAGGGCTTGGCCTCCAGGCACATCTGTTCTGCGCGTCTTCTCTAGATGAGGGGGACCATCGTTGTGTGTGTGTGTGGGGGGGTGGCTCCAGGCTGGTAACAGTGGTTGTTTGATGTTGGGGGCGGCTGAGGGAGAGATGCAACCGTGCCGTTCCCCGGGGCTCCTGGCGCCCTCTCCTGTGCTGTGCTCTTGAGGGCCTTATAAATAGCTCCGAGGACTGGACACAGAGGCCGGAGGCTGGTAAACACACCTCTTGACATTTGGTGGAAATGGCAACTCTCCTGAGAGTGGCACCCCACCTCCGTCCCACCCCTCTGAGGAAAGAGCTTGAGGGCGCAGACTGCCCTGGAGGCTGACGAGCCCCCCCACCTCTCCCCTCCCTGCCAGCTCCGCCCACGGTTGCCTGGTGGCCAGGGCCAGTGTCCCAGGAGGGGGCGCCCAGCCTGGACTCTGGCTGTGCACGCATGCATGGTCTTGGCAGGGCCTGTGTTTTCTCTGTGACTCCACCCTCTGCCACGGGGGTCGCCTGTTGGCTGGACAGGGGTCTCCGTACCCTTCCCCGGCTGGCCGAGCCAGGTAGTGGGAGGTGGCAGCAGCTATGGCCAGCTGGCGGAGTCCAGGCCTCGGGCCTGCCAGGCCGCTTACAGTAACTCTGGCCCCCAGGGCCCAGCTGGGCACCAGGCCAGGGCTCGGGGAGGAGGGAGCAGGGGCCTGGCCTGGGGCGGGAGGGGTTGGAAGCAGCAGAATGGGCCATGGACGGTTGGCTGGTCGGTCAGCTGCTGACCTGGGAAACGTGTCCCACCTCTCCTGGTGGGCGGGGACTGAACACCCTGCCCCGGGCACCCACTGCCCCTCCCACAGCCCCTGGCAGGCTGCCTGGCACCACTGCCCTGTGCGCCCGGCTGGGCTGGGTCAGTGCCCCCTTCTCAGTGTGGGGGCAGCACACTCTCGCCGGAGCCAGGGAGTCTCTTTGTCCCTGGGGCAGGCCCTGGCCGGGCGCCTCGCTGCCCGCACTGGCCGTCTGCCCACCGCCACCACCGCTTCCTGGACCTCCTCCTCTGGCTCCGCCACGGCCCCTCCCTCCCAGGCCCCACCGGCTGCTGGAGCAGGGGCTCCGTGTCTGTTCCTACAGGCTCCCCCTCTTTCTGGCCTGGGACCAGAGGGCAGGCAGATACTCCCTCAGTTTCCACTGCAATGCCATTCATTCTCTACCTTCTGTTTCCTCCCTCTCTTCTGTCCTCATACGGCAGTGGCGGGTGGCACAGTGACCCGGAGTTGGGGGAACTCCGAGTTTGGCCTAGTCTTCCAGTCCATGCTAGGTGGCCAGGGAGGCCAGTCTCTGGGTTCAGGGTTGCTGGGGAATGGAATTGGGGTTGTGGGCACGTCTGTGGTTCCTTTTGTCTACAGACACTGGAATTCGTATTCTTGGCTGGAGTAACTGGAGTGTCTCCTTCCTGCCAGGGTGGGATTTTTAGGGAGGGAGACGTGGGGGGCTTGCAACCTGGTACCTGTGGATAACTTGTCCTTCCCCAGGTGATGGGAACAAAGCCCCAGACGCTGCTCAGAGTTGGAGGTGGACTGGGTTCTTGCCCATCCTGTGTCAGACGAGCAAAGAGCAAATGCTATGTCCTCTGAATGTTGCAAGCTTCTTCCCCTTTCTTAGAGGTGGGTGGGGAGGGCTTCCGGGTCCCCCACTTCCCACCCTGGTAACATTCTCCCCCCCCCCCAGGGTGGGGTGCCCACATTTTGGGCAAGTGGAGCCTTCTCTGGCTTTCCCCACCCAGGTTAGGCAATGCTCCTTTCCTGCCCCCTCCCTCTGTGAGCCTGTGGGTTTCCCTACCCTTCCCCTCTTCCTAGTAAACAACAACTTCTCTTCCTACCTAGACCCCCAGCTTCTGAGCTTCTCCCTGCCATTCTCCTACTCTGGGACCAGGGGTGTAGCCATGGGCTTCAGGGAGCCAGGCATCTCCCCTCCTTCTGTGCAGGGCTGGGTGGCCTGGTGACCCAAGCTCCTCAGCCCTGGGTAGTGAAGCATGACAGATCAAAATTCATATGTGTTAGAGATGGAGGCAGCCTCATTTCTCTGCTCTCCCTGCCATGAGGCTGGTGCCAGGGGTCAGGCAGTTCCTAGGAGAGGTAGACATTGGTGGCCCCCATTCCTGCAGAGAGCAATGGTCACCTTTTTTTGTAGGAAGCCTCAAATGGGAGGCTCTTTACTCCCATTTCCCACCAACAAAGGTGTTTGCATAGTGCCCCTCCCTTTCCCATCCCTCTTCCCATGTAATGTGGAGGCCGGACCTTGGGTGTCTTGGGTGTATCCTTCAGAGACCCAGTGGCCTGTGGAATGACAGGTCTGGGTCACTGTTGGGGAAGGGGTATTTCTCTTACTCCGGTCAGGGAGTCAGAGTAAGAGGCCCCAGAGATGGGACAGGATTCCCTCCCCACCTCCCCAGAGCCCCTGGGGCTTGATCTCTGAGGACTGGTATTTACTATGGAGGGTTGAGATTCTGTGTGCATTGTGGGGAGGGTCAGGGTTGTGTGTGTTTTAGGGGTGGGGGTGTCAAGGCTGAGTGTGTGTTGGGAAGGGGGTTAATGGCTTGTGTGTATGGGGTGAGAAGGTCAGAGCTGAGCGTGTCTTGGGAGAATCAAATCCAGAGCTGGGGAGGGGGGGCGGTCAGTCTGTATGTGTGCTGGAGGAGGCGGTGACTTAGGGCATAGAGTGTTTAAAGGAGAGGTCTGCGGATTGTGCTGTGTGTCTCGGGAGGTCAGGGTCTCTTCTTATCGCCAGTTTAGGCTGGGGGTGGTGGTGTGGGGAGTGGGGAACACCAACCTGCCCGTGTTGTTGCTCACTGTAGGAATCCGTGTGGGCTACCTGCTGTAGTGGAGCCTGAGTTCTGGCTTTGCCACTTAACTACATGTGATAACCTCTCTGAGCACGTTTCCTGGTCTGTAAAACAGGGATATTACCAGAACCTCCCTCAAAGGCTGAGATTAGGCAAGATCACCGACGTAATGTTCTCAGCTCTGCGTCTGCTTGTGGCATCCTGTCGTCTGCATCCTTGCTGTCTCCTGTGTGGTACCGTTACCACGGTGAAAAGGGGACCCAGGTCCCTTCTAGGTGGAGGAGTTGGAGAGAACTGGATGCTGACATGTGTGGAGCACGTACTATGTGCCCCAGATTATCTCTGTGGTGCTGGGAGAGGGTTATTATCCCCATTTGTATTTGAGGAACTGGTGTGGGTGGAGGTTAAGTGATTGGGTTAAGTGAGCGGTAAAGCTGACCTATTTTCCAGCATCCAGATAGGCAGCTGCAGGAGGGTATGGTGGTGGGCACTCCTGGGTTGGGGGAGCCTTTGGGGGGGAGGGGTCTGTCAGGGCCAATGATGAAACCTCCTCTCCTATGGCTGAGTCCCACTTCTGCCCAGGAACCTCCTGCTTTCCCCCAGTAGGGGGCGTCAGGGAAGGCAGCCAAGCCACACCCCCTCTTCTGTGTTTTGGATCCTGAAGGCTGGAGGCAAAGAGCCCTAAGAGGCCTGGGCCAGATCTCCATCCTGTCCTGGAAACTGTGGATACAATCTGTTCACACCCATCCCCACCCCCGAATCTGCCCGCTGCAGCCCAGGGGAGTTTGCAGAGCTCAGTAGGCAATCCTCCCGTCCCCCTCCAGACAGACATTGTAGGAACAGAGTGTAAAAGCCACAGTTGTTATTCTTATTTTGTTTCAATTTGTGGGGTGGGGGCAGGGAAGTTGGAAGCAATCAGTAGAGGAGCTAGAGATGGGAACCCCAAAAGACTGGCTCCAGACTTTTCCTTTCTGTCCACATATTCCTAGTGTGTGTGCCTGGAGACTGGGGAGACCAAGGAGGGAGTGAGCCCCTCTTCCTTTCTTCTGCCACTCCCTTCCTTTAGTCTCTTCCTCCCACCCTCCCTTCCGTCCACTCTTTCCTTGGACAATAAGAGAGACAGCCCAGGGAGAGAGGGTATTGCTAGCAGTGCCTTTCCAGAGGTCCAAAATGCAGAGTCAGCCAAAGATTGTTGGATGGGATTTTGAGTGAAAATGGGGCCCCTCACCTTTTATCTGGTAGCGGTGATAATGCATGAGCTCCCTCAGGCAGGACTCAGGGAAGGAAGCCTGTCTTCCTCTTGGGCTGGCAGGACCTGAGACATTGGGTCCACCCCATGCCAAGGGCCATGTGCCCACAGGGATGTGCCAGTGCAGGCTATGACTACCCTTTAGGGGGTAGCATCTGTAGAAAGAGGAAGTGTTTCCCTTCTCCAGATCACTTTGGGGCAGTGCCCACGTGGCCTCCTCCTCCTCCTCCTTCTCTATGGAGTCAGGCACAGCCAGTGGAGCTGGGTGTCCCAGGGTAGACTGGTTAGATCAGCCCTGGCTAGATCAGATATAGAGGCTCTCCCCTCCCCATTTTGACTTCTGGGTTACTGAGAACCTCAAGCAGCCCACAGACCAAGGCACCATGGGCAGAAATCTTAAAAAAGACTGCTCTTCCCATGCAGCCTAGGGCAGGTCACCTATCCTCTCTCTGAGTCTGTATCCTCTTCAAAGTAAGACCCTTAATGCGTTCCTGGCTGGGTGAGTTGCTATGAGGCCACAGTGACCTGCTGACTGTTGAGCCTGGGTGAGCTTCAAGTATCTTGCAAGGGCAGTGATGATGAGGTGGGTGGAGTTGGGCCCTCGTCTTGGGGGATGACCACCCTATACTGGGACCCCATGTCTGGGTCCAGGCCTCATGATTTTCTGTTTGTGATCCCCTCCAGATGGGGTTGGGGACAGGAGGGGGCCTGGAACAAGTGGGGGCTAGTTCAGTTCAGCCCATACCTGCTGAGGGCCTGCTAAACACACAGTCCTGGAGGAGCTGTGGGGGAATGTCACAGAGAAGCAGCAGAGGAGGCCTGGACCTCAGGCCTGCAGGTAGCTGTGGCTGGA